ATATATCATATTATATATAAGCAATCCATTTGTATACAATATATTCACATTAAGTTATCAAAAATATTGTAATCATATGTACTATCTATGCTGCATAAAGAAGAATTGAAACCTAAGCCTATCAATTCAACAATATAGTCCTAGTTCACATAGAGTGAATTCGTTGGATGTAATCAAATAATGCACTTTGTTTCCATGCATCTGGATAAGAGCCACAGATATGTGCAAATAGGCAGTGTTGTCAATCTTGTATTCACAAAAAAAATGAGGATGCTTAGAATATGCAAAAACAATATCAACAAAAGGTAAGCAAAATAAAAAAAAGATGTCAAAATTTTGCACAACCAGTACATAATAAGCTCCATATCGTATAAGCAATTTGCAACCTATAACATAAAAATTTTGGCAACTAATTTAAGAAAAACAAATTAGTGCTGTCAGAACCAGTTTCAGGGCAAGGCATTAAGATATGAAAACACGGAGCAAGACAAATGGCAGTAATTCAACAAATTAGGATCCTGCTTAATTAAGAAACTTCATTATGTAGAGAAGGCAACTTGACCACTACGCAAAAACCCCTTAACCTTAGTTCAAGTTTAAGAAACAAAATAAAAGATAAAACAATACATGTAGCAGGTATTGCTACTGCATCTATACTTGATTTGAGCTTAACAATAATCATCCAGGTTTATTTAGTTGAGAATTTTCACAAACTCAAGTCAACCTAGCAACTTGGGTGCAGTAACTCTTTAACAACCATTAGGATAGGAAAGCAGACATATCATTGAGGAACAATATTATACTTAAAACAAAAAAGAGTCTAAAACAAGCAACAAGTAATACTCTGCTTTCAGTCTTGGCAGGGTTTTCAAGCAGTATGTATTTTTTGCTGACAGAAGTAACTCATTACACAACACAAACCACACCATAATAAGGAAAACACTACACCACACACCAAACACAAATTCCAGTCATACCACAGTTAAATACTTACCAAAGACTTGATACAAAGAAGGAACCTATAGGTATTACACATGTTACATATCTACAACACCGAGAACATTTGTTTAGGATAGAGAACATCGATACTGTAGCTAAGCAGTAATTGAGAATAATAATGACTATTTTAGATAAAGAATAACACTTACATTTCAAATGTCATTTTGACAGGAGCTAGAACCTGCATGGCAAGATTGAGGGAGAGGAAAATGCATTACAAAACTAGGCAAAACAATGGAAGATGAAGCTTGCATAGAAACAATAAAAATTGTAGATAGAAGATGGAGATGCAATAACACTTAAAAATTAAAAGATTTTAGAAATATATTCTATAATGGAGAACCATGATGTTAGGTTATCAAAAAGAAGAATAATGAAGCAAATCATCCATAAATCATAAGGTATCTTTCAAGTTAAGCAGTCCTTAGTAACTCACTCAAGCTAGCAACAATCCAAACTAGAAACGATGCGATAAAAGTCGAAAAGATCGAATAACCAAGGATGACCAACTTCATCATATATCATGTCATGGACCAGAAACTGAAATAGCTCGAATCTAAAATGGTTGAAACAAAAATATCTGACCACGAAATGAATCGAACTCGAAATAACTAGAACATGAAGAAAGACCAACCTGAGCTTACCTATTTGGCATTTCCATAAGGACCATAACCATTCATTTCCCATCCATGTTGTTCATTAAGTGTACATATGACACACAAAATATCATTTCTAAGGTAGCTCATAAGTGATTCTGTAATTCTTCTGGCATTCAATACATAAGAAATAAACAAAAGCTACAAGCTTGTTAGACTAGAGAATCGACTGAAACTAAAACTTCTGTATATTTCAGGCTATTTGAGGTTACATCTATGTTCTTCAGTGCGCAACGCATATGAAGATAATGTCATGAATATAGTATCAAGTATGGAGAATGTTCACACTTGGTAAGTTCGCGGATATCCATATTACTTAAGTAGACAAAGTCCAGACTCCAGATTATAACCATCTCAAGATTTCAACAGTCCCTCATCCATTCATCTTCCTCCAGTTATGCACTGTCTTCCAATTTAGACATCTCAAGAATTGTTGTCTCTTATCAGTGTTATTTAAACTCTTTTTTTTTCTTTTTTTTAACAGAATAAAAAGTTTAATATTATAGAGAAAATAATATAAGAGCCAAAATACAAGGGATTAGTGTATTCAATTCTCAACCAAAAACATGAATGGAAAAATACCAGGAATAAGGGAAAAAACATATTATTGTTTGTGCCCTCAGGGGAATAGCAACAACCTTCCTAAATCACATTGGTGACTTGATGTATGCTTCATAACCTTAAAGCAAAAGCTTCAATTATTCATAGCACTTCATTAGACATTACACTCATTAGTATTTTAAGCTCACAAATCCAACCAAATACTGCAATTAGTGCTTCTTATGGACATTGACAATGTCGAGACATTAACTATGTATCGAAAGGTTTATATGCGGAGAATTGATTACTCACTAGCAAATCCTAGGCTACTCTTTAAATTTTCTTGAAGTATTCATGTAGATACTTGTATCCACATTGAATAGAGATATGACCCCCAAAGGATCCTCCAAATACAAGGGAAAACTTTAAAAAAAATTCAAGCTGCATACCAGTTATAGACACATATCATTTATATGAAACTCATATCATACCCCAGTTGAAGTATCATAAAGAAGTAAATTAAAGAAAATTCATTCGTTTCATATAAAGTAAAATGTTATAGGCTAGAACAACAGGCATAGATTTTTGAAATTAAGCAAAGGTTCCGAAAACATACTGAGCATCTTCCTAGGCCGAGAAGCACGCATCACTGTATTTCTTGGTGGGAAAGTTGGCAACGACAACAGGCTCTAGACCATGTAAACCCCGTTCGAGATGCACCACACCATGAAAAAGGATGAATACCACTCACTTTCCATCTGCTTTATGTGTGGTTGGTTTTAATGTAATCTACTTGGTACCCACCAAAATAACTAAAACGACAAACCCTTTTTCCTATCTATTTTCATCTCTCAAGTTTAGATAATATATCAATAAAGAAGAAAACACAACTAATCTTGAAAGCAAATAGACAATTCATAATTTATACTAAAAGAACCTTATGAACTTCCTCTTCAGTACAAACAAAATTCAACCTTCCATTGCTTATAATGGAAAACAAATTTTAAAATGAAAAAAAAAGAGAGTATATTCATATTGAAACTCATTTTCATCAGTAATGGTGAACCCTACAAACCCATATTTGCTAATAAAACCAAAATTACCTAGTTCTGGATATTTTAAGGATTGAAAAAAGAAGAGTACTTACTGTACTAGGATAAGATCTTGAAGCAACAAAGAAGGATCTCCGAGTTGCAATGAGTTGAATCCAAGCACAAATCAAACGAGTACAAACAAAGACGATGAACATAATACTCATTGTGAATCTTATTATCGTCATCACCAAATTTATCCCAACTGATTTAATTTTTTTATGTATCCCAAATCTTTATCTCATAAACCCAAAAAGGAAAATCAAATTCTCGGGCTTACTACAACCAGTAGGAACAAAACTGAAGCAATTCTATGATAACCCATTTTCATTTTCCACTTTTTGAACATGAAAACGAACGCTTTACAATGATTTTTCAATGAGAAGAGTAGTGAAGCAATTGTTTCATTGTATGAAAGAGAGAGAAGGGGAGCAGAAGCAGGAGATTTGAAAGAGATTATCGGATTATGAGATCTAAATCTTAGTTTGATTTGCACTTTGGACATTTCAGTTAAACCCCATAAATGTTCAAAAAAGAAAATGAATAAACCTTGGAAGGAAGCAAGGAAGGAAAGTTTGCTGGGATTCAATCAATAAAACGAATGAGCAAGTGTACGAGGGAAAAAGAGAAAAAGGGGAAGCATATGCGTGCGTGAACTGATTATCGAGGAGGCCAGGGGAAGAAGCAGAAAAGGATGAAAATAATGGGAGGAATTAAAATATGACTTTTACAGATGACACACAATTAAAAGTGTACTCCGTATTTTTAATAATTTTTTGGATTATGACTATTAAATATGACGCACATTATTGTAAGTCATAAATCGTTCAGATTTTAAAAAACATGACATTTTTATGATAAATATTTTTTACAAGTCGTAAATTAGTGTGTGTCATCGTTCGTGTGTCATTAAAGGTATATTTTCTTGTAGTAGTGGCCAGAAAATAATCACCAAGCTCAGGGTGTTGGACAGAAATTGTAACTAGTAAATTTTGATCAGGAGCATTTGCTTTAATTCTCCAATTCCCGAGCATATCCTGCACATTTTTTTTCCAAAGATGCTTGTATGTTTAGAGTAAACACAATTATCCATAAGAAAAGGATGAAGAAAGCATTACTCAAATGTTGCCTGATAGATCCAATGTCCGAATGAATATTCGGATCATATAAACCAAGTCATCTACACCGATTAATCATCATATTCATGCTGGCGTAGAACTTATAGAGGAATTTGGCACAACTTATTTATAAATCCAATAATGAAAACAACTTAAGTCATTATGCGATGCAAGCCTTAACAAACCCTGAATTCTTAAGAGTTATATAAATACATAACACTGCAATCTCATGAAATGGATAAAACAATAACAATTCACAGGGGGCGTACCATGAAAGGGCTGACATGCAATGGTTTTGCCACTAAATCAGAACTTGGGTCAAAAGCAAATAATACTCTTTCGCCCCAGGGTGTATTAGTCACCTAAAACAGTAAATCAACAGAGATGTCAGCAAACGAAAGTAGTAGATTTTGATATAGAAAAGCATTAAAAAATGGAGACTTTCGTATCCTTAGACATGCAAAACATTAGTAAAATTTTAATGAGTTTTAATACAAAAATATACTAACTACTATTTAAGCTTGGTCCCATATGGGGCAAATTCAATAAAGAAAATACAAACCTCAGCTATGCATTTCTTCAGAAGTTTAGTGCTCCCCTCCAAATCATTGCAATAATATATGCTCAATGGATTATGTTCGTACCCCACGCTTGGAGGAATTGTTAGCAGAAAACTATTACAATAATTTCATCAAAATACTAAACCTGTTGAGATACAACTAAAAAGAACGAAGAAAAAGGAGTCGACAAAAAGGGGGTAAGAAAATTCAGGGACTTACACAGGGCCGTCAGTTTTGGCAAACCTACGAGCCTCGTCGGCGGAGAGGTGGTTAGGTGGCGTGTTGGGAGCGTGACCGAGGTCGAAAAGAGTGTAGCGGACGGAGTACCGGAAAGAATGGCGGATGGGGCGGCGACGCTCGTGCCATACGGTACCTTCGTAAAGAGAAATGGCTTCAACATGAGCGGTGGAGAGTGGAGGTGGAGGATGAGGATGAGGATGACGGTAAGGATATACAATCAAATTGAGAAAGTCAAAGGAGAAAATCAAGGGATTTGATAAGGATATACAATCAAGTTGAGAAAGTCAAAGGAGAAAATCAAGGGATTTTCACTTTTGAATATTTCCTTGTAATTATCTGTAGTATCTGGCAGTTACCCAATTTATTTTGATTCCTTTTTATTAGTAATTATTTTCCTTCTTTTGTACTCACATAATCTGTATATATACTGCTCATATCAATAAGAACTGTGAGCCATATATTTCTTCATCCTATTATCTTCTTTATGGTATCACAACCACGATTTGCTCTTTGATCTCTAGCAAGCTTCTCAGTCTTTTTTTTTCTCTTTCTTTCCAATGGCCAATGAGAATAACCAAGTCATCATCCCCAATGCCCAAGAACCCACAAAACCGCTAACCATGATCACTATCCATAACTCTATTAAACTCACACCCACTAACTATATTTCTTGGAAAACCCGAGTGGAAGCCATTCTCATAGGCTACGACTTACAAAAATTCATTGATGGATCCTACCCTGCTCCTCCACCTACCACCACCACCAATAATGTTATCTCTATTAACCCTGCATACTAAACATGGTTACGTCAAGAAAAACTATTATTTGGAGCACTTGTCGACACTCTTTCACCCTCTTTAGTTCCTCTCATCACCCAATCTAAAACCTCCTATGAAGCCTAGCAAGTCTTTTCCAACACCTATGCTCACCCATCTCGTGGCCATATCAAGCAACTCAAAGACCATCTTAAAAATATTACCAAAGGTTCTCAATCCATTACAGACTACATGCAATCCATTAAAATGTGGGCCGACGAACTTGCCACTCTCGGTAAGCCTCTTGACCATGAAGATCTAATCCAAAAACTACTTGAAGGCCTTGATGAAAATTATCAGACTATCATTGATTCTGTCAATGGCCGTGATTTCACCATCTCTTTTGATGAGCTCCATCAATAAAGAATTGTCACTCCGCAACAAGATAAGTCATTCACCTCTACCGGCATCAGCCCATCTCACCAATGTTCGCTCTACTCCATGGTCCGCTACCAATCGGATTCCTTGGCTCCCTGGTTTCACATCCATACCCACTCAAGATATCACAAGAAGTTCTCCCAGTAACACCCGAGACAATCGTTCTCCTGTTCGTCCATTCCTTGGTCGCTATCAATGGTGTAGTACTCAAGGTCATGTAGTATCCCGCTGTCCTCTGTTTCGACAACAGTTTCCACATGTGCAACCACCTCCTCGTCCTAACAACTCATCACAGTATCGACCACCGTCTCCTAGGCAAGCTCAAGCAAACGTTGCTATCACCCATCCCTCTAACACTACATGGCTACTTGACAATGGTGCCTCACATCATGTCATAACTGAAATTATGAAGGCACAAATGAAATTATGATCGGCGATGGCTCTGGACTCCCTATATCCCACACTGGTTCCACCTCTCTTACCACTCTCTCTCACTCATTTTCCCTATCTAATGTTTTATGTGTTCCCACCATGAAACGTAATCTTATTTCTATTTCTCAATTTTGCAAAACTAACAATACTTCCATTGAGTTCTTACCCTCTTTTTTCCATGTGAAGGATCTTCGCACGGGGGCAATCCTTTTACAGGGTCGGACTAAGGATGGTGTGTATGAATGGCCGCTCTCCACTACTAAGTCACCTTTAATTGCCTTTTTCCAGTGTCAAAGCCACTTTGTCCGAGTGGCATCATAGGCTATGTCATCATTCTTTGTCAATCTTCAAAAATATTATGTCTTCATTTCATTTAGATGTCTCTCGTCCTTCCAATTTCAATTTTAATTGCAATTCATGTCAATGCAATGAAAGTCATAAATTACCATTCTCTACTTTTACTCTCTCCACTTCTTCACCACTTGAAGTTACATTTACCGATATATGGACATCACCAGTCTACTCTGTTGATAACTTCAAATACTATGTTATCTTTGTCGACCATTTTACCAAATATATCTGGCTTTATCCCCTCAAACGCAAATCTGACACACATGATGTCTTTGTGCGCTTCAAGGCCCTCGTCGAAAAATTCTTTAACCGTCCAATAATAACTCTCTATTCTGATAATGGGGGAATATCAACCACTCTCTTCATTCTTAACTATCAATGGAGTCTCACATCTCACTTCTCCACCTCACACTCCTGAGCACAATGGGTACTCTGAACGTCTTCATCTGTACATTATTGAAACGGGTCTTTCTCTCCTTACCCATGTATCCATGCCTCTATCATATTGGCCTTTTTCCTTTTCTACTGTCATCTACCTCATCAATCGCCTTCCTACACCAACTTTAAACTACCTTTCACCATATCTCATTCTCTTTAGCACATCTCCCAACTACTCTAAACTTTTAAGTTTTAGATGTCTCTGCTATCCTTGGCTTCGCCCATACACTTCCCACAAACTCGAGTCTCGCTCTTCTCCATGCATCTTTGTCGGGTATTCCCCCACTCAAAGTGTCTATCTCTGTCTTGACACATCTACTGCTCGTCTATACACTTCCCGACATGTCCGCTTTGTTGAGCCCATTTTTCCTTTTGCCACTTCTCAAACTTCTCTTTCTCGTGTCACTCCATCCACCGTTTCTGAGTGGTGCTCTATGACTTTACCAGTTATGACAACACCATCCTTAAATGCCTGCTCTGCTCCCCCAACAGAATCTACCTGCTCCTACCGCCCCAAGCCAACCCCAATACTCAGCTCAAAACAATGACACCCGCGTCACACCTACATCAGAGCCCGCCAATCATTCTAGTGAAATCGAGCGTGACCTTGCTAGTGACCCACCACCCTCATCTCCTCCCAATGACCCTAATCCACCTCTCGACCCCTCAGCCTCACCTCGTGTTATAGTCACTCGCTCCAAACACAACATCCATAAACCAATTCAAAAACTTAACTTTACTTCCCAACTCCAACCATCTACCCTTGAACCCACCACTGTTACCCAAGCCCTCGAGGACCCTAAGTGACGACAAGCTATGTCTGAAGAGTTTGATGCTTTAATTCATAATGGGACATAGGAACTAGTTCCATTTCATCCCACTCAAAATTTGATTGGTTGAAAGTGGATCTTTCGTACTAAATATCTACCTAATGGCTCTATTGATAGGTACAAAACTCGATTTGTTGCTAAAGGCTTCCACCAACGCCCTGAAGTTGATCGTGATCATCCTTATCATGTCTGCAAACTACGCAAGGCTATTTATGGCCTCAAGCAAGCTCCCCGTGCTTGGTACCATGAGTTGCACCAATTTCTTCTCCAATCATGCTTCAACAATTCAGTTTCCGACACCTCCTTATTCATCTTCAACGATCGTTGCACCACCCTTTATCTTCTAGTCTATATCGATGATATCATTATCACTGGGCACAATATTGATGCTACACAGGCCTTCATTCAACAACTCTCTCAACACTTCTCTCTTAAGGACCTTGGCCCCTGACATACTTCCTTGGAGTGGAAGTCACCTCCTACAACAATGGTCTTTTCCTCAGTCAACGCAAATACATTGTTGATCTTCTTAATAGAACTCACATGATTGAAGCTAAGCCTTCTCCTACACCACTAGCAACTAGCCTGACTCCCACTTTACAGTCTGGGACTCTACTATCTGATCCGATCGAGTATCGAACAATTGTTGGTAGCCTTCAATATCTATCACTCACTCGTCCTGAAGTTGCCTATACAGTGAACAAACTCTCTCAGTTCATGCATCAACCAACCAGTGACCACTGGAATGCGGTCAAGCATCTACTACGGTATCTCTGTGGCACTTTAGAGCCTGGCATCACACTACGTCACACCTCCTCACTAGCACTTCATGCCTTTTCAGACGCTGATTGGGCAGGTAACAAGACGATTTCACCTCCACTAGTGCATGCATAGTCTATCTCGGTCACAATCCTATTTCATGGAGCTCTAAGAAACAGCGTACAATGGCTCGCTCTTCCATTGAGGCGGAGTACCGATCAGTTGTCTCTACAGCTGATGAAATTCGATGGATTTGCTCTCTCCTTACAGAACTAGGAGTCACTCTTCCCCAACAACTAGTTATTTGTTGTGATAATGTTGGTGGCACAAATCTCTGTTCCAATCCGGTCTTCCACTCGCGCATGAAACATGTCGCTCTTGACTATCACTTTATCCGAGAATAAGTTCAAAATGGTTTGCTTCGAGTGTCACACATCTCTGCAGCTGATCAACTTGTTGACGCTCTTACCAAACCTCTTGCTCATCCTCAGTTTTACTCTCTTAAGGTCAAGATTGGACTTGCTTCACGACCGTCCATCTTGTTGGGGCATGATAAGGATATACAATCAAATTAAGAAAGTCAAAGGAGAAAATCAAGGGATTTGATAAGGATCTAAAATCAAGTTGAGAAAGTCAAAGGAAAAAATCAAGGGATTTTCACTTTTGAATATTTCATTGTAATTATCTATAGTATCTGGTAGTTACTCAATTTATTTTGATTCATTTTTATTAGTAATTATTTTCCTTCTTTTGTACTCACATAATCTGTATATATACTGCTCATATCAATAAGAACTGTGAGCCATATATTTCTTCATCCTATTATCTGCTTTAGACGGTGGGGCGTGAGTAGGAAGCGGAGGGAAGGAGCAGAGAGAGAGCGAGGGAAGTGAAAAATATGGATAGGATTGAGCATAAGAGATACAAGATTTCCATTTCCCCGTGCAGCAAATTGTTACATGTGACTCGTGAGTTGACATGTTGCTGTTTATTTAAATTAAAAGGCCTAATAAATAAATAAGTGTTTAAATTATGTTTTAAAAAATATTTTTATGTATTTTTAGTGTATAAAGATTTTTTTATGTTAAAAATACATGTTTTTGGATTATATTTTTAGAAGGCTATCATTATATATTTTTTAATTTTTTATATATAAAAATATTATTTTTAAAATAGAAAAAA